TTGTAGTGCAGTTCCCCTGGCTTGCTTTCCCAGGCCTCCTTAATGCTGGGCCTTCCCTCTGTTGACTCATCCCCAAATTATGGGTTTGCACCTGGTTTTTTGCATATTGTCTCCCCTATTAGATTGTGAGCTCCTTGAGGGTAGGGACTGTCTTTCGCCTTTTTTCATATTCCTAGTGATTAACAGTGCTTGGCATGTAGTAGACGCTTAATTGACTTGTTGACTGACAGCCGTGTTTCTGTTATCCTCACATGGGTTAATCTGCCTTGTGAATGAGTATGGCCAAAGCTGGCTGGCTAGTCCTCCTCAATCATTTGTGGGCCATCGGCCCTGCAGTGGTTCATCTGTAGATGTGAAAGGCACAGGAGACTAGAAATGAGCTTAACTCACATCTAATGAGGAGAGAGAGAGGGATCTGACCTCCTTCCTCCTTACTTCCTATAAACACTGCTTGCATTCCCAGGGTAGCAAATTTTTGCCTCTGGGATGGGGATTGAGGGTAGACCGCCTAAAGCATTAAATTCACATTTATAAATCATTTTCAGTTTAAATTTGGTATATTTATATGTCTTCCTTAGAATATATATATATGAGAATGAGTGTGTTGTAGTGGCCAACTTTCGATTCAGAAAGATCTGCATTCCAGTCTTGCCTCTGACACCCACTAATTGTATGACCAGGGTCTCCTCACCTTCGTTCTCAGGCACCTGAGCTTAGAGTGCGTGCATATGTGGGTTGTCCTGGATAATGCTTTTTTATTTCTGATGCACTAAGTTGTTGGTAGAGGGAACTCCCGGTGTGGGTACTCTCTCCTCTGGGGCACATTGGCAGCTTTTCTGCAACTTAAAGTCTTAAAACGTCTGTCCAGCTAGTACGTATAAGTGGTGAGCCTTGAACCTTGGACTTTTTGTCTCCAAGGCCAAATCTCTGTTCAGTGGAACGTATTGCTTCCTTATGATTATGGTGTTAAATTACACATGTTTACATTGTGTGTGTGTGTGTGTGTGTGTGTGTGTGTGTGTGTGTGTGATTTTATACCCGGCTAGGAATCAGGAGACTTGGGTCAAGTTCCAGCTTTCTGTGTGAACTTGTATGATTTAGCTTTTTGGACCACAGTTTTCTCATCTGTACAGTGAGGGTTCTATTTTGGTTTCTAGTATCCTTATGATCTCTGACATGCTGGGATTCTAACAGATGGCATTCCATATGAATCCCACATCATTGCCCTGGGTTGTCTCATGTATTTCTTCCTGCTGCTTTTTCGGGGCAGTGGGGCACAAGCCATGACAGAAGGGCTCCTAGCACAAGGCCAGGGACAAATTGACCAGCTGCTGGCCAAGGAACAGCCCAACTGAGTTAGGACAACTTTGTGTTCAGGACCAGGCTTCCGGCCTCTGGCCAAGGGCACATCTGGGCACTTCTGTCCGTCACTGTGTAGACTGTTCCTTCTGTTGGAGTTGTGTATGTATAGACAACAGGCTGGCCATAGGGCACAGGTCACAGCCACAGCCACAGCCGCTCAAAGCTTGTCTGTTTACTCACAGAGGGGCTGTAATCTGCATCAGTGGAGGGAACACCCCACGCTGAAAAAAAATGGCACACTCTTAGAGTGCTGCAATATGCCAGCATTGTAAGTGGTAGATTATAGTGATTTGGGCTCATTTTATACTAGGCAAGTCTTCATGAAGGTAAGGACAGCATTTTGTCTTATGTAAACGTGACCTGTTTCACAGGGCTCTCTGCACAGGGTCAGTATTTAGTGGTTGTTGAGTGAACGGATGAACGATGAATGAATGGTTGGATGGTTGGATAGGGGCAGCTAGGTGGTGCAGTGGATAGGTGAATGCCAGGCTTGCAGTCAGGAAGACCTGAGTTCAAATCTGGCCTTAGACACTTAACTGGCTGTGTGACCCTGGGCAAGTCACTCTATCCTGTTTGCCTCAGTTTCCTCATCTGAAATGAGCTGGAGAAGAAAATGGCAAACCGCTCCAGTGTCTTTGCCAAGAAAACCCCAAATGGGGTCACAGAGAGTCAGACATGAGTGAAATGAGTGAAGTGAACTATAGGTGAACGAATGAATGGGTAAATGGATGGATGAATGCGTGGGTGGGTGGATGGTTGGATGGATGGATGGATTGCCGAATGAAGGGATGATTGTATAAAAGGAAGCCGTTTCCTGGTGTTTTTGTGTATCGTTGTGTATTCTAGTTATCCCTGTTTGTACTGTATCCACTACCTAGAGTGTAAGCACCATGAGGCTAGGGAGGGCTACGGGGTTGTGGAGAGTGTAGTGGGCTCAGACCCAGGAAGACCAGGCTTTAAGTCCTGCCTCTGCCACTTAGAAGCTGGGTGATGCTGGACAGGCCCCTTACCCTCTCAGCCTCAATTTCCTTGTCTGTAAAATGGGCATGGTAATACCTGTAGTACTAAGGTCACAGGGTTGTTAGGAAGAAATGAATTAAACTATGTAAACTGTTTTGAAAACTTTAAAATATTATAGAGATGTCAGCTAATGTGATTATCATCTAAACTTTTAGTGTCTCCTACGGTGCTTTGCACATAGTAGGAACTTCATAAATGCTTGCTCATTGTGTGGTATTTGGGAGGATGAAACCAAATAGAGGCTGTGAGGCCCATGTGGAAGTCTCCAAGTATCCCTTTTTACTGGCCATAAGCAAACATTTGTTGTTACTATTTTTCATATCAGGATGGCCCATAAAGGAAAGACGTTATTTCATGATTTAGAGTCACTATTAAAATTAACAGCCACTCTCTCTCTATTGCTGGGCCTTGCCCACAAGGGGCATTTAGATATTTGTTGACTTGGTTGTAAGATACCCAAGTTTACCATGCTCAGTTTAGGACTTCCGCCATCTTGTGCACCTAAGTGCCAGTCATGGCTTGCCCACCTGCTTCCTGTGTGACAGGGCCTCACTTTGCTCATCTGTGAAATGGGCTCATTCCACCTTGGCACCCATGCTCCTGTGACCTGTGACATTTTGATGTGGCTTCTTTTCCCACAGATGCTCCTTTCCATCCCTTTGGTAGTAGACAATCTTTTGAGAGTTACTGTGGTCCAGACTGGGATGATTGGGGGAAATCCATCTGTGAGCCATGGGCTGAAGGACCCAGTAAATATTTCAGGCAAACTTAAAGTCTCCTGTCTAAGGTCTGATGACAAAACCAAAACACGCTCCCCGTGACGTGTAGCGTCTACCGAGCTAATCAGTCCCCGTTGGCTTCAGGCGGGTGAGAATCTGAAATGGAGGCAGGAGCAAAGAGCAGCCTCCCTCATTCCTTGAGATAATGAGTTCCATGTGCTTCCTCCCCGCTGCCTTAAATGGCCCTGGTGTGTTCATTTGGGGGAGGGTGGGGCTTTCTGAGTTTCCCACAGCTCTGGGGTTTCAGGATTTGGGGGTTGACAGTGTTCATCCTCTCCTCGTCTAACCTGACTTCATAAGCTCTGATCACATCCCCCCTAGCCTTTGTCTTTTCAGACTGAGGAGACTGACCTTTGGTCACTGGAGTGACCATTTTTGATCCTTTTCTGGTCCTTGGGCCCCATTTGAGGAGCCGTCACAAAAAGGACACAGTGCATTCCACATAGGG